GGGGGGGGGGGGGTGTTGCTTTTATGACATAGATTACATTAAATTCATGTAACTGACATTTCAAACATGAAAAGGATGTAACTAGCGCTTTCTGACACATTAGTATCCTTATAATCAAAATTACTTCCAAAGGCTCATCAGATAAGGTTGATAAGTTTGGGAGTGTGGTCCAGAAATTCTCTGGTCTGAAAAATCTCTTTGCACAAACAGGTGTGTAATTGGGCCTGTTTCTTTTTTTACAACATGGTAATTGAGTGAACCAACTAAATTGGTTTTTTTGACTCTCAAGTGTCTTCATATCGGTTTACATGTCGGAGACAATCTATTTTCACCTTGCAAAATGAGATACCATTCCTTGAAGTTTCGTCAATTTTTGGTAAATTTTGCTGAAAAGTTTAAATTCCTGAAGCATTTGCTATTTGGAAGTAATAGTAGCAACTGAGGGTGGTTCTTGTCTTTTAAGAAAGTCTCATTCCTCAGTTTAATAAAATAATGCGACAAAGAATTTGCACAACCAATCCAACTGATAGAAGTTTGGTAGGGATAGGTTGGTATATACCGTTTTTATTTTATTTTATTAATCGCACACCCGACAATGAAATTGTTGATACATAGGGTTCCGTGACACGGGATAAGTCCAGTTAATTCCCCCACAATGCCTGTTGATGAATTGTGCACTGAAGGAACTTAGACTTTGAAAAGCCAACACTCTTGTAGATTTGAATGCTTTAACCTTTTCCATTATCACTAAGTTTTACCCCCATCTGTTGTGACGTACTTCAAGTTTGCTCAAACCATGGTTCAGAGGCATAGCTTTATCTGCCACATTGAAAATTTTTTCCCCTGTTGTTGCATGCACACTAAGAATAGACACCAAATCTTCTGTGACTTCAAAATCAGGTGAGAGAGACTGACTTCAAGGGCCGGATCCGGCTTGTGGGCCGTAGCTTGCCAACCCCGGAGGTAAACTTTCTTGTAAACCTTAGCAAAAGGGCATAACTCAGTTTAAAACGGTACCGTACTTACATTTTTTTTTTTTAAAGAAATGAAGAACCCAGTTTGCCACAATTGGCACAATCTCTTGTCTTAATCTTCTTACCTATTCTATTCCCTTCTCCTTGGGAGGCATCATGAGGTGGCTGAGTTGAAGATTTGTTGCAAGGTGTGAGGCCTGCTTGAGAGTCTTGTGGATTTTAAGGGTATCCTCAAGACTGCAGGTCTTGACTTTCTCTGGCCCTTAAATTGAAAGACAGTTCATCCATGACCATAACAAATAAAAGTAATAACTTCTGTGACTGTGTGCATATTTTAGAAACATGTGCAACAAATTTTAACTTTACGAGTTTTTTATTTTAAAAAAAAATTTGTTAAATTTATGTACCGGTACTTTAATAATAAAATTACGGTACTCAGAGATTTTAAAATAAAAGGCTGATGGGCATAGCAAAATTATTCATATATCACTTACATTGGCTTGATTTGAAATAAAAAAAAGTTGAGAGTGACAAAATAAGTCAGACCCATTAAATAATAGATTTCCATTCTTAAAAAAAACACAGAATACTAATATATATACCATATACCCGGTACACACAAAAGATAATAGAAAAGTTACCGTACATAAAGTCACTTACCATAGGCTTCATTGAGAACAGTGTCATCATCCTCAACCTTTGCCAACATGGGTGAGTAGGCATTTCTCAAAGAATTTATTATAAATTATTAATAAGCAATGTTGATATAGAAGATATACTGGTATACCAGTAGAAGCATAGATCATAAAATAAACTTTTCAATAAAAAATGTAAAAAAGGTAAATTATTAAGAATTATTGCTTATGGTATTTCAGTAATGCAAAGTAAATAAGTTAATTGTTCTTTGGTCTTACTCAACAAAGTAAATACCAGTATTACTATTACACAACCATACATTCTGGTTGATTAACATTTTTGTTGACCAAGGTTTAATAATTTAACCTAAATTATGTTTAAATATTGAAAAAGCATTTTAGTTGTGCTTGGGGGGCAGGGAAATGGTTGATTAAGAGATTTCATATTGGTAGACATAAGAGAAGATGGGACTTGACACATACCACTTGTAAGGAAACATTGTTAATTTCACAAAACGACCAAATATTTTCAAAATTTGTGGATAGTGGACAAATTGGAAATTAAACAGTGAGGTAATATTTATTTGTTTAGCTTGATGACAAATCATTACTGTAACTACTTTCATTATAATAGAGTTTTTGAAATAGATAGTTTTAGCTCATTTTTAAGGGATGCCCGATGATGTACAAGGTATCAGAGGAAAAAGGAGGTATAAAAATGTTTTTTGCTTGTGCAATTAATGTAGGGCCTACTGGTATTCACCGGTACATTAATGCTGCTTAAACTTAAAAGCAATAAAAATATTTGCATTTAAAAAATATATATTTTTGTCTAAAATTTAAAATAGAACACACATACCTCTGATTAATTACTGTTGGCCGCAAAAGAATCATGATGATGCAGAGAAGAACAGAATTGAGGATTTGCCAGTAAGCGTCATCCATCCACAGTTCTTTCCAATTCTAATGATTAAAAAAAAGGTTTTGAGTTATATAACAGAGACCGCATTCAAGCTTT